GAAAGAGTGGTTAGATGTTTAAAATCTGGAGTTAAACAGGCCTGGGCTCAAGTATGTAACATTCTATTCTCTCAGTCATTCGTTTATTTATATATTCAAGAAAAAAAATCTTCGAGTACTTTGAGTTGTGCCAGGCACTGTAAAGGTAACACAACACTCTTTTGAGAAGCCTATAATCTAGCAGGAAGGCAGATAAGAAAATGAAGTCAATGTTGGGTGTTAGAATAGTATTACATATTAACTTTCTCTTCTGGAAAAGAAAAATGCAATAATGTGATTTCTTTCATTTTTTTTCAGGGTTTTTTAATTTTATGTTTCGGGATGCTTTTGGATAGTAAGGTAGGTGTATTGTTATAATTTCTTTCTTCATTTTCTAACCTAAGCCTCTCTAAGTCCCTCCCCTTCAGCTCTGAGTCATTTGTTAATATAGTAAGACATTGGACTAAGGAGACTTTTATAATACAGTTCTATAATTTTACAAAAGGCAGGCTCAGAGGGCAGCTGATTCCTATGAGCCCTACATTGCCTCTCATGGAACCTGAGTCCCCTGTGCAGCTTTTTGCCCTTTCTTCATAACCATGTACACCTGCCTAGTATTAGCAGATTCAAGGACAAGGGAAAAGACAGTACAGAAATGAGGTGGTACAGAATAGAAATTAACGTGGAGCTAAGGAAAATTAAGAAGGGTGACCAGATGTTGAAAAGGAGAAACGTAAGCTCATTTCCTGATGATGCTACTTCCACACACAGGAAATTCAGGCACTGTAAATTAATCTATTGATGACATTGTCAGAGTCATAAATAGCAACAATTTGGAAAATCAGAACCAAACCACTCAAGCTGCTAGGAAGCTGCTTTCTAGGAACAAATCAGCCCCCCATAGACAACATTTATGTTGTCTATCAACCCATCCAAGCAGGGTTGATTCCAGCATTTGTGTCCTTCTTGGATAGAAATGATTGTAATTCCATCCAGTTTGTATCTGCTTATGCACTCACCAACATTGTTTCCAGGATGTCAGGACAGACCAAGGGCTGTGGTAGATGGAGGTGCTATCTCAGCATTCATTTCTCTGTTGGCGTTTCTCCACACTTTTTTCAGTGAAGAAGCTGTATGGGCTCTAGGAAACATTGCAGGGGTGATTCCATTTTCAGGACCAGTCTTCAAGTATAAGTCAGTTGACCCACTGTAGGCTCTTCTTGTAGTTCCTGTTATGTCATCTTTAGCGTGTGGTAACCTACATAATATTACCTAGGTACTTTCAAACCTTTGCCACAATAAGAATCTTGCAAACCCACTAGATGCTGTTGAGCAAATTCTTCCTACTTTAGTCTGTCTCCTACATCATGATGACCCAGAAGTGTTAGCAGATTAGCAGTGTAGGTCTGCTGGGGTATTTCCTACCTTATTGATGGACCTAATGAATGGATTGAAGTGGTTGTGAAAACAGGAGTTGTGCCCCTACTTGTGAAGCGTCTAGGAGTTGCCAAATTGCCCATCGTGACTCCTGCACTAAGAGCCATAGGTAATATTGTCACTGTGACAGGTGAACAGACTCAGGTTGTGATAGATGCTGGAGCACTCGCCATCTTCCCAAGTTACCCCAAAATGAATATTCAAAAGGAAGCTATGTGGACAATGTCCAGCATCACAGCTGGTCAGCAGGACCAGATTCTGCAGGCTATGAATCATGTGTTAGTCCCATTCTTTGTCAATATTCTTTCCAAGGCAGACTTAAAGACACAAAAGGAAGTTGTATGGGCTGTGACCAACTCTTCCAGCAGTGGAATAGTTGAACAGATTATATGTCTTGTCCACTGTGGCATAATAGAACTGTTGATGAACCTCTTAACTGTTAAAGATGCCAAAATTATTTGGGCTTTCTTGGATGCCATTTCAAATATCTTTCAGGCTATTGAGAAGCTAGGAGAAACTGAAAAACTTATTGTAATGATTAAAGAATGTGGAGGATTGGATAAAATTGAAGCTCTGCAAAACTATGAAAATGAGTCTGTGTACAATGCTTCACTGAACTTGATTAAAAAGTACTTCTCTGTAGAGGAAGAGAAAGATCAGAATTGTGTGCCTGAAACTACTTCTGAAGGCAATACCTTCCAAATGCAGGGTGGGACTCCTGGGGCCTTTAGTTTTTAGATTGCACGACTAAGGCCCAAAGGTGTTTGTTGTATACTATATTTGGTATAAGTTTGTTTGACTGTTTCTCTACTAAGAACTCTTTTTAAATGTAGTTGTTATCATAGCACTTTTTACAATGAAATTATACTTAAACAGTTTCAAACTGTACATACTGTATGCAGCTTGTCCTCTGAGCAAGTTTCTTATTTCTATGTGGAATTTCATGTCTAGCAGTGTCCTGTAAATAAAAATTAAATTTCACTCTTAAAAACAGAAAAAAGACAACTTCAGTCAGGACACAAAAGAACTAAATGGTCACTGCTGATAAAGCTGTGTAGAATTAATCACAAAATATAATGTAAAACATTTTACCTTTAATTTTTTTCATTTAAATTATGGTTTGATGACAATTCGTGAACAAAATTACTTTCCTAACAGGTGTAGGACAATTTATTTCTTTTATTAATTTGTCTATATACTTACAATAGTCTACATTTCTAAAACTTTATATATTAAATGTTTAATAGCTTCTTACATGAAATAAAAATGCTAATGAAGGACAAAAAGGTTTAGTAAAATATAACAAAAACAAAGTTAAAAAAAAAAAAACTATTATGTTTCCCAAACATTGAGCGATTCTGTTGAGAGAAGTGAAGGCAGTTAGGGAAACTATGTAGTGTTTTTGCCTTAATAAGATAAGAATATTTTATAATTAGCATAAGTATTGCACAGCACAAGGCTCTATTTACAAAGAAGCAATTTACTGCTCTTAATTGTGGTAAATAATTGCCTTGTTTGTACCATTCACATAGTTAGAAAACCCCTCACTTCAAAGACAAACTTCAATTTAGCAATTATTACCAACTACTAATGTCTAGATATGAATTATTTTGGATTATGGTACTGAACTGAGCCCAAACCTACATGGGTGTTTAGAAGATTTTATAAATAACAATAGAACAGTTTGAAATAAAATAATGAATAAATTATCCTCTGGAATTAAAATTCTTTGCTTAAATCTCGTTTTGTATATGAGTAATAAAGTGAAGAAAATATTGTATTAGATACCCATGCCGCCAATGACCTATTAGGTGCTTTTAGGAAATAATGTTAAATAGCAATTTCAACCTGCAGTTTAGTTCTTGATTTGTTTATGTATGACTGCATGTGTGTATTAATAGTTTCTTAATATTTATCTTTTGCTCTTATAGCTGCGACAATTTTTGATTAACAAGTTGTCTCCAATAAGTTTCTGGAAAGAAACATCAAAGGTAATTATACTGCCACGATTTCAATGCATGAAGTTCCAGATTTGCATTTTTTCTCTATGTTGTCTTCCAGCAAGCCCACTTTAATGTAAACCCCTTGAGTTTCTGTCACTATTATGTTCTTGGCATCTAACCAGGTATCTCCCACATGGCCCACACTCAATATTAAGTGTTGTCAGTTGAGGTAGTGATTAAATGAATTAATGTAAAGGCATGAAAACATATGAGGATGCTTAAGCATTCAAGTTTGTGGGTGCTTGCTATGAGTGAATACCTTTGAATTTGTTCCAGTCTCACTTACCTCCTAGTATCTAGAATCAGTACGTTTCTTTTCTGGACTTATTACAGACTTATTTCTTTCTCTAGAACAGCAACGGAGGAGTGTTTGATTAACTTCTGATATATAAATTTGATTAACATGTAAAATGTCCCTTCTGAATCTTCTTAGGGTGTAGATTAGCTCTTAAATCTGCCAACTGACAAGTGTGTATGAAAATACAATTCCTATTTAATTCTTTGCACAAAAGTGCAATCCATATGAGGATAGTATAGTTGGAAACAAAAGGACTTGAATGTATATTTACTATTTTCAATGTTAATTTTGGCCTTTGTCTTTCAGTTAGACAAGAAGGGCCTTGTGGGAAGGGTACTAAAGGGAAGATTTCTGTGTTTGATAAAAATCAACTGACTTAACTGAACCCAAACCTACATGGGTGTTTGGAAGATTTTATAAATAACAATAGAACAGTTTGAAATAAAATAATGAATAAATTATCCTCTGGCATTAAGAAAAGACTTCCTTGTTATGCATTTCATAATAGAAGGTGAGTTAAGGAAGAGCAGCCCATAAGCTGCAGACTTGCCCTCTGTTATTTCTTATTTCTTTTTTTTTTTTTCGCTATAGGGCATGTGCGCTCACCAGACAGACAGAGAGAGACACAGAGACAGAAAGCGAGAAATCACCCCCCTGGGGGGATGGTCATGCCACAATCCTTTCTCCTCCATTCTCCTCTTGGGATCTTGGGCACGCACACACCTGTGCCTGGCGTGAGTTTTAAGCCACCGGGTCCAGGACGCGAACTGTGGTTGACTACGTGGGAGTCCAGCGACATAGCCATTATGCTAACTGCTGGTTCCCTTGCCCTCTATTTCTGACACCATAACCAATTAGCTGTCTGATCTTAGGACAGTCACTTAGTTTTTTTGAGTTTCAGTTTTTTCAATTGTAAAAATTTAGTTTTGGACTAGTAACTCAAAGTAGAAGTTCTAACATTCTGAAATGTTTGATTTTATGTTTTAAAGAATTAAAATGTTTGACCCAGAAAATGTGAAATAGTCAGTATCTATTCTTAGAAAAAGATGGAGGTACAGTACATGTGACTATGTAAAAAACAAAACCAAAAACCTTTAGTGAATAAAGCAAAACGCCATCCACCCTACAAAATAGGAAGGCGTAATTTTTCTCATTTGAAACAAGAAGAGAGAAAAACACCCCAAAGTAAAATAAAACAAAAAAGAAAGTAAATATGCCTGACAGTTTCTCCCTGTTTTTAAGGAGTGTTGACACTTCAGAAGGAGGCAAGGGTCAAGAAGTCTTCGCGTCTTTTGATTTTGTAACCTCTTCCCAATTTGTTTTTGAGTTGAGTGTTGAAAGCAGAACTTGGTTGCTTTGTTACGTGGCTCTTTTGGTTTAAAATAAATACATATTTTATAGAAGAAAAGATAAATATTTATAACTTTTTGAGGTAGTTTGAATGAAAAAGTTGGAACCCAGATTACAGAGGATGATGAAAAGGTGAGGAAGAGGGAACCAGCAGTTAGCGTAATGGCTATGTCGCTGGACTCCCACGTAGTCGACCGCGGTTCGTGTCCCGGACCCGGTGGCTTAAAACTCACGCCGGGCGCGTGTGCGTGCGTGCCCAAGATCCCGAGAGGAGAATGGAGGAGAAGGGATTGCGGCGTGACCATCCCCCCTAGGGGGTGATTTCTCGCTTTCTGTCTCTATGTCTCTCTCTGTCTGTCTGGCCAGCGCACGCGCTCTATAGTGAAAATCTCTCCAAAAAAAAAAAAAAAGAGGTGAGGAAGAGATCACACTCAGGGTGAATAGTCATGTCAAGATTCTCACTTGGGGAACCAGCAGTTAGTATAATGGCTATGTCACTGGACTCCCATGTAGTCGACCGCGGTTCGTGTCTCGGACCTGGTGGCTTAAAACTCACGCTGGGCGCGTGTGTGTGCGTGCCCAAGATCCCGAGAGGAGAATGGAGGAGAAAGGATTGCGGCATCACCATCCCCTCTGGGGGGTGATTTCTCGCTTTCTGTCTCTACGTCTCTCTCTGTCCGTCTGGCCAGCGCACGCGCTCTATAGCGAAAACCTCTCCAAAAAAAAAGAAAAAGAAAATCTCACTTGTAAGTGAAAAGAGAGCGAAGGTGGTGGCCAGATGTAGACACAGACCAGGAGTGACAGGACACAATTGAGGTTGCCAGCATATGAGCAAGGGGAGGCTGACCAACAAAGAAAATTTTAAAAGAAAAGAAAGAGGGAGGATAGTGGACAGAAGAAGGTTCCTGGGCAGAAAGATTGAATGTCTGGGTTGATGTTGGAGAGATTAACCTCCTCTCTTGACATAAGAAGTATCAGACTGATGCAGACAGATCAACATATACAGATCGAGGTCAGAATGTTGAGAGTTCAGATCTCGATATCTTGTTTTTTTCCCTAAGTAGGAGACAAAGATATTCACTGAGAGATGGCAAAGAGAGTGGTAAATTAGGGATCTTGAAAGGGGCAATAAAAATATGATAACTGACTGAAGGGAATAGAAGAGAAAGCTAGCAATATTTTCAACAAGAGCCACTCCTCAAGCCATCAAAACACCATGTGGGCCCACAAAATGGTTTCCCTCCTCCGTACTGGGAGCTTGTGGCCCCTTCCGGGCCTCTGACTACTTGTAGTCATGTTTGTTGTTATTCTCTCTCTCATTTTTCTAACTGCTAACCTCTTGTATTATTTTTTATTATTTTGATGTTTTGTTTAAACCACAATATCATTTGTGATTACTATAACTCTACCAACAGACAGAGTGTGATGGCCTCTAGAGTCTCTCTTAGAGGAGATACTTGAATAAATTATCCTTTGGCATTAAAAAAAATGTGTGATACATCTAAATGTGTAATACATCTAAACACTTAGTTTCAGTAAATCCATGCTGATCCTTTTAATTATTTCATATCAGTTTGATAATTTGACTTTTATATTACTGTACTCTATGTAGCCTTTGCACAAATTACTCAAGTATTATTCACAAAGAGATTTGAATTCTGGGCCAGTTAGCCACATGGTAGTTAAAGGTGGCTGGATCTCACTCTGAGGTTCAAGTCCCGGACCAATGGCTTAAAAAACATGCCACACACATGTGTTTTCATGCCCCAAATCCTAAAAGGAGAATGGAAGAGAAGGGATTGTGGGGTGGCCATCCCCCCAGGGAGTGATTCCTCATTTTCCCTCTCTTCCCTTTCCCTCTTTCTTTAAAATAAATATTAATTTAATTTAATTTCATTTAATAGTTGTTAATTTGACCAGAGAAAGACAGAGACAGAGAGAATGGGAAAGTGAGAAAAGTGAGAAAGCAAACCATCATGTTCTGGACTCAAACCACAGTTGGCCACGTGGGAATCCAGCACCTTAACCACTATGCCACCTGCTGGCCTCTCTCTCGTTCTCTCTCTGTGTGTCTCTCTCTGGAAGCACATGAACCCTATAGCAAATTAAAAAGAGAAAGAGAGGGAGATATAAATGCTAAGATGAGCAAGAATAAGGCAAATTTTGATTGGAGGTAATTAGTTTTAGCATATTCATTTTCTTCCATGGATTCCTTGTATAGCAACAAATATATGAATCAAATAAATGCTAATGTGAACATAAAAAGGGATAATGTCTCCTTTAAAACTATTTTTCAGATTTTTTTTTTTTTAGAAGCTATAAAGATATGCAGAAACAGAGATAAGCAGGTGGCCTAGTGGTTAAGGCACTGGACTTCCACATGGCCGACTGCAGTTCCAGTCTTGACCTGGCAGCTTAAAACTCATGCTGGGAATATGTTTGTGCATGCTCCACATCCCAGTAGGAGACTGGAGAAGAAGAGATTACAGTGTGACAATCCCCCCAGGGAGTGATTTCTCATTTTCCCTCTCACTATTTCTCTCTCTGGCTCTTTCTCTGGCAAATGCACATTCCCTTTGTTAAAAACAAAACAAAACAAAACAAACAAACAAAACAACAACAACAACAAGCCACTAAATTTATTTGGAAATAAGTTCTTAGGCATTTGAAATAGACGAAGGCAGAAGAAAGAATAAGGAATGACTATATTCTTGAAAAAAGAGAATAATGCATAGTATTGATAAAATAAAGCATTGATAAGGACATCAAGAAATCAGGAAATGCAGACCATTACTAAAAGAATACTATTAATATCCAAATGACTTTTTTCGTGTTTTTTTTTTTTTATGCAGCAAAACTCATCAGATTTATCTGCCAAACCCAAATTCCCAAAGCCTTTCAGTATGCTGAAAAACAAAGGTGAGTTATGATAAAACCAAAGATTAAAAAATGGAGAGATCGTAAATACATTTGTGAAGAAAATTGCATGGTAACTCTTTTTTATAATTTTAAAAAATTATTTCATTTAAATTTATTTATTCATTTATTTTAATTTGACCAGAGAGGGACAGTGAGAGAGAGACAGAGTGAAAGAGAGAAAGCAAGCCACCAGGTCCGGGACTCAAACTGTGGTCGACCATGTGGAAGTCCAGCACCCTTAACCACCATGCTACCTGCCAGCTCCCCATGATAACTTTTAAAAACTGTATGTTGGGACCAGCAGTTAGTGTAATGGCTATGTTGCTGGACTCCCACTTGGTCAACCGTGGTTCACGTCCCAGACCCGGTGACTTAAAACTCACGCCGGGCGTGTGTGCGTGCGTGCCCAAGATCCCGAGAGGAGAATGGAGGAGAAGGGATTGTGGCGTGGCCATCCCCCCAGGGGAGTGATTTCTCGCTTTCTGTCTCTGTCTCTCTCTGTCTGTCTGGCGAGTGCATGCTCCCTATAGTGAAAACCTCTCAAAACAAAAAAACAAACAAACAAAAAAACAAATTGTATGTTATGAGTGACTCAACCAGCCACATGTCCAGAGTGCATCTGGAATGTGCCCATAGCTGATAGAACAATGTTGAGAATTTGATGCCCATGGAGACCAGGGGATGTCATTCTGTAATTTCATCACAAATGATTCCCAATTCCTCAGTTAAACATTATAGAAGTCTGTGATGTTGACACTTGAGGCCTGGGGTAGAGCGTGGTTAAATGAACACTAATTGTGTCCTTACTGGAGAGTGACTCCCCTTGTGCTAGCTGCTGAACAGAGGGCATGGGGCAAGATGCACATGCCCTGAGGCTGGATAAGGCAAATTTTGATTGGCAGTGATTTGTTCTAGCATATTGGTTTCCCTACTTCCTAAGTATCCCTAAGGAGAGAGGACCCACACCTGCCAAGGTGAGAGAACACTGTCCTCTCCACTTATGACATGCATTGGTCCTAAGGTCTTATATACTCTGGCAGTTATGAAAGGCTGTGCTGTTTGGGACAGGAAAAAAACAGTATTTCAACATTGTGAATAGTCACAATATTCTTGGAAAAGTGGAAAATGGGAGTAAGGAGGAGACATAGCATTATAAATTAAGCTTAAGTGCCCAAGTTCCATTTCACATTAAGTGATATTAATAAATTATGTTACTATTATTATTAAGGTAGGTTAATAAGCAACTCATTTTAGATTCCCATAAAATTATTTAAATTCCAGATAAAGTGTATAAAGAATGTGCCTCTCCAGGACCCATGGGTCCCGCTATCACTACCATCAACTAACCTGTGTGTTTTTCATAAATCTTTTTGCCTTTTGAAAGTCTATTCCTCATTACTAAAATGAAAAACCAAGAGATCACAAAGATTTCTTCCATCAGTAATATGCTGTTATCTCAAACCTACTTTATCTCATTTTCCGGTAAAATCTGAAAAACATGGGATCTCCCTTCTCAAATAAGAGATGCCTGACCAATGCAAGTCTCTAGGATGTTGAGAAATGGTGTGCCGCTCAATCAGTCATATTGTCTATCTTTCCTCGCTTCTTCCTTAAATTGTCGTCAGTTGTAAAAAACTTCCACAGGCTTATTTTCATGTTGGTTACATGTTTGATTCTAACATAGTAGCAATCATTCTCTTTTTTTTCCTCCCTCAGGCAACTATACACTTTCTCATACTGGAAACTCCTCCAATGACATCATGCTAACTCAGTTTTTATCAACTGAATAATGCCTGGAACTTCAAACGAAGGAAAACATTTTGGAGCAATTTGATATTTAGAGCAAGTCAGTGAGAAATTGGGCTCAGTATTAACTGGGATTTTCTGATTTCATAGTCTAGGAGTGAAACAAGTTTTCAGCAGTTTCATCGCTGCCTTCTTTATCTTCAATTTAGCAAAAAGAAGACTTATTTCCACATGGTTTAATTTACAGAAACTATTCCATAAATGTAGAAGAATAGATTTTTTGGGAAATTGTGTCAATTGTACCTTCCTTTTGTCACCATATCGTAGTCTTTTTATTTTTTCCCATGAAGTATCATTATTTATATAACATTTCCCATCATCTAGATTGGAGTAGGAAAACTTCATGATATAGCCTAAGAAAATTGATAGACCATGTTCACTTTCTTGTCAAAAGTCATTGGTTCAAATTTCCTAGAGAAAAGATATTTCCCTTCAATATTTTCCATTTTTATGCCCCCCTTTTTTTTCTTTTTACTTCTTCAGTTCAGTCTGTTACTTAACATTGAAAATTAATCAGAAATCAAATAAAAACTTTAATCTCAGATAACTTTGTAGCCATTTGTTAGACTTTGATTTGCTATAAATGTGGTAGTTTTCAATTTACAAGGCACTTTCCCCTGGTTCCTAGGCCTTGTGAATTGGTATTCAGGCAGATAGCGGAGAGGAGAGGAAATGAAGGCTCTGAGAGGTGAGTGGTTTGCCAAAGATTGTAAAGCCAGTTAAGAAGAATCAGAGATTTTTAGGACATTGTCTCCTTCTCCAGTTCTATAAACCTATGACAGCCCTGAAAATTACAAACAACCCTATGAGTTCATTATGAGGTAAAATACATGACTCATCATTCCCAGGATTCTATCTATGTAAGATGGAAATTGAGGAAGAATACAGTTGTCAGCCACCAGGGAAGTGCCTCAAAACATCCTGATTTTCTTTCATAATATTTGAAAGTTCTTTTTGAAGTTGTTTATATATAAAATCACTGCCACCTTTGGATGAGACGAAGGACAACAAGTGAGCAGAGGCTATGTGAAGCAACGTTTCCCTTCCACATTTGCATCACTTTTGGCTTACCTAAATTTCAGACCTGTCCACAGTGCACAGAACCAAGCCTTTTGATTCATCCTCACTGTTTAGAGACCTATCAGTCTTAATAGTACCTGTCATGAAAAGGTCTCATGACATGCAATAAGTTGAGCATGGGGACCTTCAAGTCTTTGGTGGTGGATTAAATAGGAAGGAAACGCATCAAGTTGCAGTACACCGTAAAATACCAAGTGAGAATGTTCAAAGGAAATGACTGAGAACTAGTTAGATGATTCCATCCCTCATAAAAACATAGAAGAGTTCAAAGAGAAAAACTTTCTTGGAGAAAACTCCTTTAATCTACCTACTCCCAAAGGTGAGAGAAGAAAGGTTGCCTGCCCCCTGACCTCAAGTCTTACAAGAGAAGGTTTCTCAGATAGCTTTCTATGGGACCACAACAGTTAGGGTACATGGCCAACAAGGGTCTGATTCCTGCCTGAAACTATGACCACAACTCTGTAGTAGATCCCTAAATGTGCTCCATGTTAAGACTAAACGTACATGCATGTTGTCTATTAGGGCAAAGGCTACGTGCATATTTCCCTTGTACCATGGTGAGACTTATACAAGAGAGAAAGTCAGCATGGGGCTGTCTTGAGTACTGTCTGATAGGGCCATCCAAAGAGGTAGAAGGGTCCCAGCAACAAGAAGCTGTAGATGAAGCCAAATTGTGGGTTGAGGAAGAAGTCCTAAGTGACTGCCTCAAATACAAAAAGAATATACAAAGGTTAAAAGAATTGCACTTGAAAGGTCAGGGCTATGGGAATTTCTAAGAGTTCTTGGGTGTTCCTTCCCTATTATGTACAATTCTTATCCAGAAAGCCCTGGCACCCTATGCAGGTGACTCTGTCTCATAAGACAAAATTTCTATTCCCTAAGATCTAGGGAACGGAGAGATAAATCTAAGTGCTCAAAAATGGGGTGGAAGGGAAAGTGAGAAAAATGTCAACCAGTGAGAGACGTGCTAGTGCAAGTAGCCAATCCAAAGCAGGACTCAGTTGGAAGAAAATGTAGTGCCAAATGGTGTGTGGTTACTTTGTCTTTTTTTCTCTTTTTGAAATTTGCTGGAGGGCACATGTAATCACTGGAGAGAAACAGAGGTGAGGGGTTGTGAGAAAGCACACTCCATGGAGAACAGACACCCTGCAATCTTTTCTCCTCCATTTCGGCCTCCTGTCAAGATTTTGGGGATACACGCACACAGGTCCATCATATTGTTCAAGCCGCTGGATCTGGGACTCTTATCATGCAGTTGGCCATATGAAATCCAGCTGCCTTAACAGTCACACCACGGCTTGCCCTGTAGTTTCTTATTATGTTACAAGAGACTGAGCATCCTAATTACCAAACTATTTAATGCGACCAAAATGCTGTAATTACCTAGACATGTTGGAATATAACTAGATTATATCTAGTGGGAAGAAAAACACTTTTCCCATAAATACATTTTGTAAAATGATGGTAAAAAAGAAGAAGCGATGGTAAAATATGTTTGATCACATACCATGTGTCACGTTTGTCTAATCCATTGATTACATATACATTCACCTCAAAATGCTACTGAACTTCAATAAAAGCATCCAAGAAAAGATAAAGGCATCATCACAATTTTTTTATTGGTATATTTTCTATTGTAGTAGTTTTATTTTGGTGTGCAAAAAATTACCTTAAGCTTAGGAGCTTAAAACAGCACGTATTACCAACCGTTATTATCTCGGTTCCACGGGTGAGGAATCCAGGCCTAGCTCAGCTGGTCCTCTGCTCAGGGTTTCACAAGGCTCTCTAGTCAAGGGGCTGGCTGGGCTGTGTTTTTATCTAGAGGCTCAACTGTGAAGGAACCCACTAGGGCTCATTTAAGTTGTTGGCAGAATTGATTTACTTATAGTTGTGGGAATGGGAATAGTGGCTTTTGGTACAGGTTCTCTTCAAACCCTAGAGGCTACCCATATTTCTTTCATAGGCTTCTTCAACTTGGTCACTTACATCATTAAGTCTACAAAGAGAGACTTTATATATTCCAGTCTGCTGTTAAGATAGACTCTTGTATCATATAAGGTCATCAGGGGGATGACTTAAGTATAAAAGGTCAAAGTCAGTATCATCAGACCTCTCCACAGCAACGTTTTAAGCTAGAAAATAATGGAGAGTTTGAGAGAAGAATGATGTCAACTTAGAAGTAATTAAGTGTGAGGAAGAATAGAAACTACTAGATAGGAAAGTTTTAAATAAACTTTCCTCCAGTGCTGTCTTTCCCCAAAGCTGTTGGAGAATACATACACCATATGTGGGAATAAGCACAGAAAAATGAAGAAATAGAATAATAATAATAAAGAAAGATAAAAAGAGAAAACAGAGAGAATAGAACCTTCAGGATGGGGCTAAAAGGAGCTGCCCAGATTGCAGCTGTGGGCCTCCAGGATTATTGCTCAATAAAAGGAAAATCGGACTGGGGTAGTGGCATAGCTACAACTTGACGATCCATGTTTCTGAAGTCACATGGGAAGGTCCTGGGTTCATGTCCTGAGGTCTCCCATATATTCTGGGCACGTGTGGGCCCATGACCTCAACTGACTGAGGTCGAGGGTGGATCACAGCATCGGGACCTTGTTAGGGGTCTCTCTCTCTCTAAAACAGGAAAGAAAGCAACTTTTTTTTTTTTTAAAAAAAAGAAGAACATGAAATGATAGGGTAACTTACGTATTTGAGTATTATTTAGAAGATACTTATTACAAGGTGGAAGTATGGGATGAATTTTTGATAAGAAAATAGAAATCTAAGCAAGTGAAAGTCTTTTATCTAACAGAGACAAAAAGCTATGCAGAAGAGAAAACAAAAACAAAACGAGTTAAACATACTGCCTGGCTCAGCTGTGAATAGAATATATAGAGTTGACAATGTGAAAGGATGTTTTTCTGAAAGGGCCATCCTTCATTTCTTCCATGAGCAAGAGAGACAGGTGGTGGGGAGGAGGGAA